GTAAAGGTACAATTCCTAATGAGAAATGTAATTGTGTTGTATACCTACAATGTACCAATAAAAGAATTTAATAAAAAAAAAAAAAAGGAAGGAGGGGGTCGCTTGATTGACTGCGCTGTTGGGAGCCTCTGCAGGCCCTGCCCCCAGCCTGGTCCCAGCCGAGTTGTGGCACAGAGAGGGAGGGCGTGGACCGTCCAGACCAGGGATATTGCGGCTAAGGAGCTGTCCAAGAGGGGCGCCGCAGGTGGCTACTCCACTGGCCACAGCCACAGTTCAGTGTTCGGAGTCCTACAGGGGACACTGTAGGGGAGAAGCTCCAGGACGTGAGTGGAGGGGAAGGGGGCGGGAGAGAGGGATCACCTGGCGGGGTGGGTGGGGGTTGGAGATACCCAGGACTGGGGAAAGAGGCGCCTGGAGGCCAGGGACAGGGCGGATCGAGAGGACACTGATCTCGGAAGAGAGGGGTGGTGAGGGGAAACAGCCATGGGAGGGAAGGGGGCGATGGAGCCCTGGGAGTTGGCGCCCGGAAGGAGAAGGCTACCGGAGCCGGAGAGGAGCAGAGAGCGGGGCGGGGAAGGAGGCGGAGAGTGGGCGGGGCTTCGAGGAGGCGGTGGCGGCCTAGCCTAAGGGGCTCACCTTGCTCGATCTCGTCCTCGCGCTCCGCCAGCTGCTCGAAGTCGCGGATGACGGCGCGGGCCGCGAGGTGGTGGAAGGTCTCGTTCCACAGGTCGGCGTCCCGTGCGTTGTCCGGCTCCGGGCCGGGAGGCCCCAACTGGAAGTTCACCTCCCACTGCACGCATTGGCCGTCGCGTAGGCCTTTGACCAGAGCCTTGCCCAGCACCGGGCCTGGGGTGGTGGTGGGCCTGGCGGGACTGCCCGGTTCCTCGGACTCAGCCATGGGCTCCCAGTCCGAAGATGTCTCGGTCTCGAAGGCGGACGGTTCTGTGAGTGGAGGGCCAAGAGAGTCCAGCCCTGAGCCCTGAGTGGGGAGACAGACCCCCCTCCCCCCAGCTCATCATCCTTCCCCAGGGCCCAGTCGCCCCTAAACAACCCTACCCCATCCCCCTCCCCAGGGAGCAAACAACTCCTTTTCTGAGACAGCTATGTGACATAGGCTTGTCCCCAAGAGATGGACAGATCCATCTCCAGGAAACCAGTGGGGCCGTGCTAGGCACGGATGGGCTGGACAGAGAATGAAGCTGCAGCCTCATAGGCAGTCCAAGGGCCAGATTCAAAGGGGAAAATGGGGTTGGTTAGGTCCCCAGGGCAGGATTGGCCAAAGCAGACCCTCAAGGGACACCAGGCATTGGCCATCTGGGTCTGTCATCTGAAGTTGGGCCACAATGAAGGATTCCTCCCTGTTCCTAATCAGGTCTTGCACCTTTGGACACTTACCCAGATCTCCAGGGCTGTGGCTGTCCAGGGTAGATTTCAGGCTGGATCCAGGATCCAGCTCCCTCATGGAGCTCCAGGCCTGGGTCTCCTGGCCCAAGGACAGGAAGGGCTGGCAGCCTTGAGGCAGCAGAGAGGGCCTTCGGGCCCCTGGGCCATGCAGTTTGGAGGTCTGGCTCAGGTCCTGGCCACTGTTCAGCAAGGGCTAGGGGTGCAGGAAAGAGGAGGAGGAGGAGGAGGAGGAGGAGGAAGAGGAGGAGGCGGTGGTGGCAGAGCCTGTAGTGCCTTATGTCCCTAGCTGTAGCTCTTTTCTAGGCACCACAGTGTCTGCTGGGTCACTGTTCCTCTAGGACCCTGGAACTGATGACCTTGTCTCTTTGACCCATAAGTAACATCAGCAAGAACCATCCCAAGCCACGGATGAACTCTAAACCATGACAGAGACCACGGAAAATCACACACCACAGATAATTCTAAATCTATTTTTTTTGGCATAAAATTTAAAACTTTTTGTGTGTGGTTAAAATTATCCACCTTTTCCTTATGTCTTTCCATATGTTTGTTTAAAAGGTTTTTCCCACTCAAATATATTCTAGAATTTTTGTGATTTTATTTTTGTTTGTGTATGTAAGTCTTTGATTCACATGAAATTTATTTTACTGTAAGGAAATAGGAACCAGCTTTTCCTTGATTTTCCAAGTGGTACAAATCTCATTGTTATTGAATACAATTTATCCACTGAATTAGTATGGTTCACTAGTCCCTCACTTCTAGTCCATCGAAGCCTTTATGCACACTTGGCTTTACTTATGGACTTTCTGTGCTGTTTTGTTGATTTAATCTATCTATTCTTGTGCTGATATAAAAAGTGAGGGGTAAACTGGGAGGTATATTTGCAACATCCATGACAAATTTTTTTTTTTTTTAAGAAAAATGCTCTTATAAGCACTGGAGGGAAAAGATAAACTTAAGAGAATAAAGAGTTAAGGGCATTCAGATGCAGTTTATAGCAAAGGTATTAAATAAACCCATAAAAATGGGCACGTTCATGAAAAATCAGAGCAAGGAAACTTTAAAACAAGTTACTACTTTTTTCTATCATCAAACATTTGATGACACCCAATGTGAACAGGATTGCTCATGGACTGTAGGTTAGAGTGTAAACTGACATATACTCATGGGAGAACAATTTAGCAATGTACTATCTACAACAATAAAAATACACAAATCTTTTGACCCAGTGATTCCATTGGTAGGAATACAATCCTGCAGAAATCTACAAGGGTGTAAGTATCTATGTGTAAGCACTGTGAATTTGGTGCAGTATTGGTTTGGAAGGTAAAAATCTGAAAGCTATTTACATATCCATCAGTAGGAGGAGGGTGAATAAATTATGGTATGTCCATGTTGTAGAACACCACACAACATTGAACCAAGAGAGATTTCTTCATATCATTATGAGAAAATGTTTAATATATAGTCAATTTTAAAAAATTAAATCTTTCTAGTTCTATACTTAATTGTGGAGATTATAAGACTATGTAGATGTCTACATAGTCTTATAATCTTTCTCTGAGATGTAGGCATCTCAGAGAATTCTTCACCACAAAGAGTAATGTTACTATATATAAAAAATGAATTAAGGGACATTAAAAGTAATCTGTAGAGGAGTTTGTTTATGTAATTATTAAAATATATGTGTGTGTTACACATGCATATGTCTGTGTGTAATATTTCTAGAAAGAAACACTCAAAATCAAATGGGTCTTGGCATACAGAAGGGGGACTTCTATTTGTACCTAATACCCAACTCAACTGTTGCAGGGTTTTTATTGCAAACACTGAGTATGTATTACTTTTGTAACTGAAGAATATTAAGTTAATTGAAATGAATTTCAAGCTTCTGAGCTCACATATGTCCCTTGGTAGGGGGAAGGGAGAGGAAGCAAAGGCACTTACTAGGTGTAACAGAAGTTTTTAGGTCAACAGTTAACTGTGAGGGCTTTTGCCTCCCTATCAAGGAGTTACTGGGAGGGGTAGTGTGCCTTCCCATTAAATAGGGGCTGCCTTCTGGCCCTGGGCCCAATCATTCACATGACCTGTTCGCCATCTCATAGGTGGGACATCTGGGGCCAAGAGAGTTTAAGTCCCATGTGTGAGAAGAGTGCCTGACCACCAACCATCCACAGATGTTTAGTGGGAGCCAGCTCTAAGTGGAGGACTTTTCCAGGAACTGGCCCAGCACCTGACACATAGTAGGTGTCCTTCAGTGGCATCTCTACTTGGCAAGAACATGGGCAGAGTGGCTTCCTTTCCTTCACTCCACATGTTCCTTAGCTATTCTAGCCCATCTCTGCTCATCTCTTCCCCTACCCCTGCTTGTGTGCCTGGCTTCTTTCCCAATCTGATTCTCCCCAACACACTTGCTTGTACACACACACACCACACACTCACACATCACACTTCGTGCAGCCCCTGGCTGGGCGAAGGGCTGGATGAGCAGAGTGAGCAGGGGCATCAGGGAGAGAGAAGGGCTGCATTTATGGACTCATCACAAATCTACATAAACCCCATTTTTTAAGAAAATGGGTGGGCCGCAAGTTGGTTCTCACAATGATTCTCAACTGGATGATTTTGCCTCTTTGCCCAGGGTATGTGGCAGTGTCTGAGGCATTTTTGGTTGTTGTGACTGGGGCTATTGTTGTTGTTATTATTGACCCCAGTAGGCAGACCCCTTCCCCCAGCAAAGAATTAACCTAGCAATGGTGCTGAGGCTGAGCAGCCCCGGTCTAGGCCTGTGGCTCCCACTCTCTGCTTCTTTTTGCTGAGACTGACAGGAGAAGCAGGGTGATGGAGGTGAAAGGAAGGCAGGCGGCCCTCGGTTGTAGTTCCCTGCCTGGTCATGTGACCCTGGGTCAGTCGCTTTATCCCTCTAGCCCTCAGTTTCCACATGTGTATAAGTGGGGGTGGCTGGCCCCAAACTCCCTTCTCTCCCAAGGGTGCTGTAAAATCTAATGACACACAGATGCAGATGCTGAATGCCAACTGGGAAGTGCTGTGTGCAGGCAATGGGGCTCTCATTAACCAGAAATACCTGGATTAGGAAGGCATCATTGAGATTGGGGAGATGAAAGTCAGAGAAGGGAGAAAGGAGTGGCTGGCTCACTTTCCTAAACTGCTGGCTACCTACTCTCAGTAGGTAATTCATAAATACATTTTGAAGAGAAACTGACACCATAAAGGGGCTTGGGGGTCAGGAAGGTCTGGACTCTGTTCTACCTAGTACTCACCCATGTAAGTGATGGGCAGACTCATCCTTAGGGTTGAGGCACAGGACACAGCTCTTCCCCAACTGTGGCCTCCCCAGCTCCTCTCCAGCCCACCTTCCTTGGGTACCTGTAAATCAATCTGCCACTGCTGTCCATCCAGGCTGATCTGATTGGTGAGGTCTTGCAGCTTGGCTTTTCTCAGTGGGTGTCTCCTGGAAGATACTGTGGGCTCACTGGCGGTGGTGGCCTTTGGGCATGGCTTGTGGTGGGTGATCTGGTTGGTGCTGTATGCCCTCCGTTGCTGGGAGAGGTCTAGACCTGGGCAGGGGAGGTGCATGGGAATCCATCAGGGAAGGAGAGGGGCTTCCATACCTCCTTCCTACTTGGAAACAGCCTAAGTTCCTCACTGAGTGCCAACTGTAATGTGTGCAGGTTCCTTTGCCAGTGTCTGAACCTCACCTTATCTGACCCCCATCTTCTTCCCAGCAGCTCTCCCTTGTGCCCTCTTCTGAAGGTACAGTATGCTCCAAACAAACTAGATGAGTGGACAATCAGGTGTGCTTTTTGAGCATCACACTTCCACACCTTTGCCCAGGCACTTTCTGATGCCCAGAAGCTTCTCTCCCTCCCACCAGTCCCTAGGTGAAGTTTTGGTTGTGTTTTTCTCTTCCTAGGAGCCTCCTAGTTATGGCCTCTGCCACTCGGCTTCTATCAGAGTTAAGGTCAATTGTGACACACCAGATGGAGAGTGCCTGAAGGGCAGGTGCTAGGTGTGAGTCATCTTTGTGTCTCACACTGCGCTCAGTACCTAGCCTTAGTGAGTAATTGGTAAATGGCCTTTGAGTGGAAACACACATGGTGCAGAGGCACCCGAGTAAAAAAGGTCTATGTCTTTCTGTGCTCATCTACCTCATTCAAGCTCCAATAATTTAGCAGTGTTGTTAAAAATACTCCAAGTCTCAGTTTCTTCATCTGTAAAATAGACATAATGGCACTCACTTCTGCAGCTGCTAACTATTCATGGCCATGGTTTTTATAAAGTTCTTAGCACATAGTAAGAACTCAGAATAAGGTAGCAGTCAATATAGGCTCTCTGCAGAAGGGAGAAGGGCAGAAAGTGCAGAGGACCAACCGTGATTGGTACTGGAGTCTCCGCCAAATGTCCAGGTATCCTTGGCCTGCCCCAGGCTGAAAGGTGCCCCCATGCTCTTGATACCGTCTCCACTGTCTGGACCAACTCCCTCATCCTGAGAGTGGTAGAAGACGGAGCTGCCAGACTCCTGAGAGTGTTGCATGCTGTACCTTTGCCTCTTGTCCTGGCGGGAGAAGAGAAGAGGACTGGGAATGAGGCCCATGTAAGGAAGGACTTCCATGGGGCAGCGAGGGGCTTGAAGAATGGGAAAGGTGTTTGCTTAGGGAGCTTAGGTAGACTTCTGTTCAAGAGATGGTGAAAAAATTATGTTTTCATATCAGCTATGTAGTTTATATTTTAAATTACTGATTTCATTCATTAACATTTTAAAAAAGTATAATTCTAAATGTCATTCCTTCTCCAGATAGGTAACTAAAATGAACAAAATGGACCACTGGTTCCTTCATTCCTCATGACATAAACACAGGTCAAAATAGATATATAAAAATATTTATTATACATAAATTATATACATGCATGATTTTAGAGATCATTTTTGTTTTATAGAATCTGGACCGTACTGCTTACATCTATCAGTATCTTGAACTTTGCCCTTAAAAACATGGGAAACATGGAAATCCTGAATCTCTTTAATATTCAACTCTACAATGTCCCACTGTCCCTTATTGTTAAATGTCTGCTTTGCGGTCATTTATTTTTGCAACCCTAACATCTTTGGCCATAAATATCACTTTTATTTCTCTGGTTAGATTCTTAGGAGTAGCATTATTGCATTGAAAGATTTATATATTTTTAATTTCATTATTTCTCAGTTGCTTTCCCGGCAGGTGGTAGCAAGTCATGTTGATATGAACAATATATGAAGGTGCTGTTTGTCCAACATCTTCACAAGTAGCAGAAGAAAATTATTCCAATCTCAGGAGTAAGAAAAGGAGAATGGATTTTGTGCCTGTGTCATGTTCGTTCTAGTGGGAGGGTTTGTTGAGGACCTGGCCTCAATAACATAACCCTGATCACAGCTCTTAAGAAATTCTATAACATGAACAAAATCTAGAGATTTATAGAAAATTCAAATTTCTCTTGGAAATGCATTTGACACAGGACACACATTCCTGCATGGCAGCAGTTTAGGGTTAGGGCTGAGTAGGGGCTGCCTGACCTAGGGTGTGCTATCCAGCTTGTCACATTCCTACCGCTCCTTATGGCCTCTCTAACTATGAACTCAGTGATGACTGATATCCATCATGGCATTTGCTCTTTTTATTTTTACACCAAGTCCTCTTCATAGCTGCCCAATCACTCTAGGCATTGAGTTTGTGACTCCTTAAAAACAAAATAAGATGAGAAATCCTATAAGATAGAATGGAGAGACTCACTAAAAAGTGAAGATGGGTAAGAAAAAAGCTCCCCAGGCAATCTCTCACATTTTATCATGAATTTTACCTCCCTTTGAGAAATTCTTTATTTTTATCCTACTCGTGACACCAAATACACAGGATTTTTTCTGGCAAATAAATAAAAACAAATTCTTCTAAAGAGATACAAGCTGAAAAGAGTATTCTGAGAAAGAAACCTGAGTGCAGTTGTCCTTGAACTGAAGTGTGAGTTTTATCACTTAGGGGAGATTATATAAAACGCAGATTTCTGCGATTACCTTCAGGGATTCTTATTCAGTAGACCTGGGTTGGAGCTATGGGCTCTGCATTTTAGACAAGTTCCTCAAGTGGTTCTTCTGCAGGAGCTGTTCAGAACCACACTTTGAGATGGTGACGTTCACCTGAGTGTTGCTATCAAATGCCCATTGCCTTCCAACTGTGTCTACAACGGTAAATCCAGTTCCAATCAGTTCCTAGCTGCCATGAATAGAATTCCAGCGAAGGATGGTTTGTGAACATGGGTTCTGGACCCCACTGGCCCTTGGAATTTCTAGAATACTTACAGATCTGGAGTTGGAGACGTACAAGGAGGCATCACACACAATGCCATACCCCACCAACCGTTCTCCAGGGAAGAGGGTGTTGGTGCTGACAGGTGAGATCAGGACTTCAGTGGTCTCAGGGAAGACCCACTCCACAGTCACATCACTCAGGACTGGGGCCATGGCCTTCTTCAAGGACTTGACCATCTATTGGGTAGGGCCAGAACACAGGATGAGGGATGTGTAATCAGGGGTACAGAAAAGGAGTATAAATATTGTGTGAGTATGAGCTTGAAGGGGTATGAGCAGGAAGGAAGAGCAACAGGTCTTGGCTTCATTTGCTCAGCCATGGTTTCTTGAATTCCTCGAATGTCAGAGTTGGAATGGATCTTTGCTGTCATCTTCTCCAAGCTTAACATTTTATAAAGAAGAAGATTTGAGGCTCAAAGAATGGCCTTCTGGTTTGAGGACATAGAGAAAGTTTGGGTCATATCATAGGATAGTGTTCTTAAGCAATTCAATTTGCTTCTCTGGCCCTCAGTTTCCCGTTCTGTTAAAGTGGGAAGGTATATTTGGAGGATTATATGAGATGTTGGATATGAAGTATCTGCCACATGCCAGGTGTTCAACAAATGGCAGCTGTGGGTTAGCATCCCCTCTACTATTTCTTGGGCATATGGCAAACTTGGAGAAAAGGATTAGGGATTGTGGTGACAATGGAGATATTCTCAACTCTCCCTTCAAGAAGGAGCATGCCTTTTTGCTGAAGGGATGCAGTGCCCCAGCTTTTAAGCGAAGATTACACCTCCCCCTGGAAGCCCTCTGCCAAAGATTGAGGATGACAGTGATTTTAGCACATGGCCATGCCAGCCCAATGTGGACTTTCAAGTGGGCAATCTTTGCTCCAGAGTTCCCCATTGGGTTGGTCAAGGCCTTGGCAGAGAATTGCAGTCAGAAGCCCCCTGCCCAATCTGCTTCCTCCTTTCTTTCACAAGTGTTGGATCTGCCTTCTGGTGGGAAGATTTTCCCTTCTTGTTTCCTCCTCTTCTATCTTTCCCAGATGCTGGCTCCCAATAACCTCTTCGCTCTATCCTGAGTCTGGCTCTCCTCTGGGAGGGCCTGGATTTTCTGAGGGTTGGGTTATTTGTGGTAAATGTGCTGGAAGAGAGAGAAGACTTTTTAATGTCTGGGCCTTTTAGGTTCTTCTGAGCCACTATTTGTCATCAAGAAGATGGTGGCCAGTAATGACCTCAAACAGCTCTATAGCTATAAAGGTGGGTGGAGCACATGACTCAGTGGCTGTAGAGCAGGAGATCAGTGTCCTGGGGATGCTCTAAGAGTTGCTTGCTCTGTGGCCATCACCTCTCTGATTCCCGCTGGGGTTCAGGGTAGCCTAGCGGAGAGCTCAGATTTGGGCTGAAATAGCAGTTCTGCCACTGAGCTGCTGTCTGACTTGTCTGGACCTCAGAGGTTCCATCACTGGAAGAGACTGGGAGGTCCTTCTGCCTACCTTTGGTTGTAGCCGCTCCCCCTCCACGAGGAACTCAGCGCTGCCCTTGGACACAGATGCCAGCCCTTTTACCAGTCGATGGCAGACACTGGGTCCAATTCCAAAGCTGTAGCACCTGGGGGACAGGGACACAGATGGTGCTACTTGCCAGCCCCTCTGCATCTTTGCCCAGTTGAGAGGGGAAAGAGACAAAGCTTGGTCCAGCAGAGCCAGCTCAGAGCTGGATCTGCTTTAGGCAGGCGAGGAAGAAGGAAGAAGCACACCCTGTGGGGCACTCACATGCATACACTCCCAGCTAGTGCAGTCAGGGCAGCCTCTTCCTATGCTGCTCTTTGGGACTTGCAGGCAGAAGTGTGGGCATCTCCCCCGCTCCTGAACTTTTTCAACCAAGAGGCAAACTTGGAAATCAGCCCACACCATCCTGGAAGCACAACACTCTGGGAACTATGAGCTCTGTTCTTTCCCTGTGTCATTTTGCACACTTTGCTCTGGTTCTGGTCCCCCCAGACCCAGGGCAGCTTGGAATAACAGGGCCCCGGACCTCCAGCTCCAGCTGACCTGGTGGAGAAGGCATGGTTCCGCAGCAGCTCTAGCACCTTCCCGGTGTTGCTGATGGCACCAGCAGTGATCAGGAAGAGGAGCCGTGGGTGGCCCTGGTGCACTGGCTGCCGGACAATCCACTTGAGAGGGGAAAAGATGTTGGTGCCACCCATGTCAGCCCGGATTCTCTGGATGTTGTCACAGGCCATGGCCAAGCTCTCCTGCAGGGAAGGGTTAGAGGGAAGGGGAGAGGTAGACAGTCCCCAGGGTCACCCTGTGTCATGGGGACTCCCATCCACCCTGAGGACGAGCTCTTTGTTTCCCTGGCTCTCAGTTCAACCTCATTCCTGGTCCATCTGTGGGAAGAATAGGTGGCTGCTTTTTTGGTGTAACCCACTCCCTACTGATGTCTGTAATGCCATCGTTTGTGGTCTAGTGACTCAATACTGTCCTTTTTCTCTAAAATATGAGCACCTCTGGAAAAGGTGGCAAATTAAGCCTCTAATTCCTCAGCACAAATGATATTTACTTTTCTGAGGAGGGAGGCAGGTGATGTGGAGAAAAGAACACTAGCCTGGGAAACATAAAACCTGAGTCCTGAGCCTGACTCTGGCACTGACTTCCTAGGACCCTTTGCAGAAACTGCTTCCCCAATTTGGGCTTCAGATTTCCTCTCTCTTGGACTAACACTTGGGGACCTAACTGGCCAAGGGGTGGATGTCATTGTAGCAAGAGTTGTTTCCTTAGATGTGTGTCTTCCTGCCCTTGGCTAAGGAAGAAGGTCTTCCAACATCCATGCTTGGAAGGGACTGATAAGTAATGGCCTATATCAAAAGTCTGTTGATGCATATGTAGCTGCTGAATCAGCAAGACTAAAAATGTATCCCAAGAGAACAATTAAGGATGCATGAAAAATCTATGATACAAAGATGACTAAATGGGGAAAAGTGGAAGCAATTTAAGTGCCTAACTCTAGGACTTTGTAAAATAAGTCTCAATCTATCTGTATGGTGAAACACTGGGCAGCCATTACAATTATATTACAAGTTAATTCTTTCTGAAATGAAAATATGTTCATGATAGCTTGGAAAGTAGGTTATGGATGGGACAGTATGTAACGTCTAATCCTACCTTGATTGAAAATGTGTGTAAATGCATAGGACAAGATCTGGAAGGATTTATACTAAGCTCTTCACAGTATTTTTCTTCTTTATTTCCCCCTGACTGATGTAATCATAGGAGATTTAAAATTTTTTCTTTTTTATTATCTAGATTTAAAATTATGAGACAAATCAACATGTATTATTCATTCCTGTATTTGAAAAAACTCACAAAATTACTTTTAGTAGAGAAGTAGCTAGTATGTCCCTCCCTCCCTCCATCCATCCTTTCCTCCTTTACTTCTTTCTATTCTTCATTCTTTCCTCTTCTTATGTCTGGGTAGGATGTTCTGATTTTGAGTGTGCTCATAGGGCCACAGCTGTCTTGTTTCAGTGGGGAGCTTGAGCCTTGTGGGTTCCATCCATAGCTGCTTCAACAGCCTTCCACTCACACATTCACACCATTCACTTTAGCTCCACCTTGCACGAGTCCCTCATCCACATGAGACAGAAGCTTCAGAGTGACAGGCCACAAACTTGTCTCTTCCCTGCCTTCTTCTTATGCCTCATCTCTGTGCACTCACATCCTTTGCCCAGTGTATTATTGCATTAAAGAGGGAAGATGTCAGAAGGCTGGAATGTCAGGGATTGCCTAAGCAGAGATGGCCTCTCTTTAGTTTTCTGCCCCTGGATGTGACCTAGGCTGTCTATGGGTCTGAGGCTGATTCCAGAGTTACTACTTCTTCCCTTTTCTCTCCTACTCTCTGCTCCCTACCACCTATCACCCCCCTGGTCCCAGGTTGGCCCCATTCTTACCTCATTGTAGGTCTGGCTGGAAGGGAAGAGCGTTTTAAATGTGGATCCAAATCCAATGACATTGAAGAGACAAGTTGGCATGAGGCTCTTAAGGGCCACCAGCATGGCATCCTGGTGGGCGGGAAAAGGGTGTTCAGGTTCAGGCAGAGGGTCCTGCCACACACACCAGTACTGTCATCCCAGCTTAGGAGCCACCTTGAAAGGGGTCTGTCGCCTGCTGTCTGAACCTAGCACCTCCTTCTCCTTCATATCACGAAACTGGCTGATTCTGACCAGAGGCTGGATCAGAGTCATTATCATAAAACCTCTCAGCCGCACAGCAGGTCTGACTTCTCAATGTCACTCTACAATGGCTGGCCAGTTCCATTTCACCTCTTGTTGACCCTGAGAGGCAAGGAGAGGAGGCAGCACCCACGCTCTTCTATCAAAGCCAAAATGACATCTAGGGGAGGAAAATGGCTGGTCCAGGTCACACTGGTGATGGAGTGGCTTTTGGTTCCCATGCAGGGCCTCTGAATCAGAGTCAAGCTATCATTAACCAGTGACAAAATCCTAGGAACAGTGTCTTTATCTTACATTTGTTGAATGCAAAGGATGTATTTTAAATGCAATACCCTGCTAATCTTCACAATAGCTGGCATATGTGAGGCAGGCACATTTATTATCCCCATTATATAGAAGACAAGACTGAGGCACAGAGAGCTAAAGCAACTTGTTAGTGAGCATCCAGGTGGTAAATAATGGATCCAGGATTGAAACGTGTGTCACTTTGCCTCCAATATCTATAAACACTATCAAGTCTTAACCCATGTAACTAGGTACAAACAGAAGACCCCGATAAAGGTATGTTGAAAAAATAATGACAAAGAAGGTGACAGGCTGATAGCAGAAGCAAACATGATGATAACGATGACATAATGCAATGATAAATATCAAGCACTTAACATGTGCCAATCATTGTACTAAGCACTTAATAATCATATTTGATCTCTGATTTTGTTTTAGCATAGTGGTTAAACTGATACAATTTAAAGTTTAACCTGAGTGTAAATACTACTTGACCTTGGGCTAGTTATGTCACCCCTTTGAGGCCCAGCCTAAAATAAAGTACACATCCAGTAAGGAGATACATATTAGTTTTAACAATTCTATTTTATAGATGAAGAAACTGAGGCTCAGGAAGGTTAAAGAATTGCACAGGATCATAAAGCCTAAGAATATGAACTTGGCTTTCAAATATAACTCTGAAGTCTTTATTCATGTCAGCTGTGCCTTGGCACAGAGCTCAGAAATAAACATCTCCCCTTTACCCTCACGTAGTTTACTGATGGCACCCCAGGGATCTCAGCATGGCTTTGGGGAAAAAAACTGTCATCCTCCAAAGTCTAGACACAAACAGCTGCCAATGGATTCTGGCAACTTTCACATCATACAACTTTCCAGGCTCCCTGGCCCCGTAGCCCCTCTCCCATCCCCCTCTGCTAACATTAACATTAAACATTCACATGCACATCCTCGCTGTCTCTCTTCATTGCTTGTGTCAATATATTTTGTGTCTCTGCAAAAGAAGTCAATATCTGCTTTTTTCATTAGCCATTAATGTATACTCCTGCTAGCAGGAGACTTTGGTGATCCATTCAGATTGTCTCTGCTCACACCTATTAGAATTTTTAAAGCTATGTTTTTGGCAGCAAGTGGCAGCTGAAGAATGAGACCAGCTGCAGGAAATTAAATTGGCTGAACTTTCCTCTTTGGCATGGGCTGTTTGGATTTATATTCTCTCCCTCCTCCCTAAGCCTAGTTTCTCCTAAAACTTCAATACAATGGACCACAATGAATGGCCCAAGCAACCCCCCAGTTGCCATACTGTCTGTCAAGAAAGAGGTGTGTGATATGAGCAACATCTGTCCCTTTCTCTGAAAGGGTTATGTTTAGCAGAACAGGTTGTACCCATGCAAAGCCATTTGTAAAGAATGACCTTGAGCTTAGTGACCTGAACAGGAGAAAAGCAAAGGAGACTCCAAGGGGAAAGGGGGCTGAAAGGTGAGCTAGAGAAAGTTCTTGTCAGAGAATTCTGGAGTGCAAAGATTGGAAAGAGCTTTAGTTCAAGGAATGGATTTCCACTCAAAAACCAATTCTATTCAACTGATAGTAATTGACTGGAACACTGGAATGAGAAAGCTATAGGGAAACTGAGTCCACGCTTAGCAGGAAAGAAAGTCATAATAAATTATTGATGTCTGCCTGGGCTTGGGAGAGGGGAGCAGAGAGACAGGCCTTCCCTGAATTAATCTTTCCTTTTCATTTTACCAAAAGGACAAATGAAAGCCAGAATTGAGAATCAATTTGTCTAAAGCCACATAGCAGTTCAGTGGCAGAATCGATCCTAGACCCCAGGTATTACTTTTTCTACTGTGCCATGTAGTAGAAATGACATAATCAGAGAAAAGAGGTTTTATAAATGGAAGCAAATGCATAATCTCCTCTTAAGCGATGGAAGGAAAATGAGCACTGAGGTCAAGATATAGAAAGCTCGGGATCCTTCAGTAGCACTGTATTCAGTTTTCTTATGTAGTAAATGAACAGAAAATGGATGAAATGCCCCCAAAAGACGGTTTTAGGTTTGTAATCCTATAATGTTTTAACATAACTAAGGAAATGCCCCTCACAAATCAGTGTAGCTATGGAATGGCCTGGAGCGCAATTCAGCACTTCAGCACCGTGGACAGATCCCCGCCCTTATTCTTGACTTTGGTGGTGGGCAGGGTGGGGAGAAGGTACCAACCAGTCCTACCTACATTCCAGCGTCAAGATGCCTCAAATTTGACCTTGGGTCTCTTCTATGAGTCCTTGTCATGCTTCAATCATGGCAAGGCTAAGGAGGTAGCTGGCCTCACAGAAGTTACCTAACCCCTCCTCGCCTTGCTGAGCCTGTTGCTCTGGAAATGAGAGCTTGCTCCAAGGACAAACTAAGAGAGATGGATGAATTTTCAGGTGGCAGAAGAACTCCACTCTCTTCTTGTTGCTTCATCCCTTGTTCTCTTGAACTACAGTCTTTACCCAGTCCAATAAACAGACTGAAGTCGTTTTATACATAAACAGAGAGCTAGACCCCTTGGGGAAAGATAGATGAGAAATATCTGGTTCTTTCTCTTAATTAATTCATAACTCCAGATGGGAAGATAGACATCTACAGAAGCCAAAATACAAGGGAGTGTTGGATAATGCCATAATCAAGATGAAAAATTTCCCATGAGGGAGGGAATACCTCTGGATGGCTGGGGAGGGTTTTAATCCCCTTTCTTCTACACTCCTGCTGAGCTCTCCTTAGCAGGGAGATCAAGCTGCAGGCATTCTGCCTGTGTCCCTCACTTGACTATAAGGTGCTTAAAGGCAGCAATTGTTTTTTCATCCTAGGTATTTGAGAAAAAGAAGAGCCAATCTTTTCTTCTCAATTCTACTCATTCCTTTATGATAGCACCATGTGCAATGAATCGCTGATGTCCACTGGAGGAGAGTCAGGTAGACATGGGTTTGATCACAGACCACTAATGGGGTGACTTTGGGTAGATGACTGTAACTCTCACGATCTGTTTTCTCTTATGGTAAATAGTGACAACAGGACCAACTTCCTAGGATATTGGATTCAATACCAAGCTGTGCATTAAATGGTTTGCACAGCACCTGGCACATAGCAGATCCTCAGCAAGTGTTTGTTTTCTTCCCCTCTTCTCTGCACCCCTTCTCACTCAGGACTAGTGAGGTGTTTTAGCCAGAATAGGCATGCAACAGAAGTTTGTAGAATGCCAAAGACAGCTATTGATGACTTCATTTGTGATTTCAATGGACAACTGTTCTGCCTCTGCTCACAACACTTAAGGGTTTTATTTTGGGAGCAAACTGAGTTTGAGTGTCTCTGTTTATATATATATATTTGTTTCTTGTAATAGAAAGTATGGAGGAGCCAGGACTGGGAAGCACAGTTGATTTACCCTGGAACCTGGGTCCTGGGGAATGGCCTTTGTGGCAGGTACCTTGACATGGTGGATGCTGGTCCCACTCATACTGCTGCTCCTGTCAATGAGGAAGATGAACTCTCCATGGGTCTTTCTCAGGTTTGGCTGCACAGACTGGAGGTCAGGGCAGAAGTTGAGCATGATGACCGAATGATGGGGAATGTCTTTGTGGAGGCGTTTCCGGATGATTTCTGTCTGGAGGAGAAAGGAAAACCCTCTGATTTGGGCAATCATGGGGTTCTGAGATCCCTCTGTGGCCTGATACTGGTCCCCCATAGCTTACCAAGTTTCATGTAGATCTTACTTGTACTCTGAACCAAAGACCTCCAGACCACCTGTCCTGGGCCCCTCTGTCTGGAGATGTTCACAGGTTGCAACAGTAAGCCTGGCTTTGCAGGCAGCGAGACCTGGGCCTGAAATCCCAGCTCTGTCCTTGTCCAACTGTGTGAATTTGAGAAAGTCCCCCCGCTGATGTTACTTCCTTTGTAAAATGGGGCAAATACATCCACTTTTCAGGGTGACTGTGTGAATGAACTGAATTTATTGTCTCTTTCACTTTTCCATCCAGTGCATAAACCACTCTTTGACTCATCATGACCATCAACTTAGTTTCCCTGATTTGCTAATTTTTTTCCCACTGATAAATTTTTATTCATCCTTCAAATTTTAGCTGTATGAGAAGCCTTCCCAAATCTTGCAGGAGGACTTGTTCACTTACTTTCCCTAACTATGGAAAGTGTGCATACCTCACAGAACATGAGTGCATTCCTCACAGAATGGATTAAATGCCACATTTGGGAGGCCTGCTGCCTGGCAGAGTAATTGCCATCATTTTGCTGTTGCTTTGGATGCTGTTATTTGCCTTGGGGCTCCGGCATGTCTCACTTTGAAAGCAGAGCTTTGCTTGCACCTCTGCCTCCGCTCCAGCTTCCATGCTATCCGAAGATTCTTTAGTCTCTGCAATCACCTCAAGCTGGCCTTTTTCCCCACTTTTACCTCCCTGTGGTCCATTCTGCATAGAGTAGCCAGGGAGGTCATTCTTGGCATTCTCTTGCTTATGCAACAGCTCCCCTCACATTGTACACCATGGTTGACTAGGCCCTCACTGGCCTCACCCCTGCCTGCTGGTCCGCTTCATCCCTACCACAATATCCTCTGTTCTATTTGCTAAGTAGCTTGCCATTAACCTGCTCCAGTCCTTTGCATGTTTTGCGCTCTCTCTGCCCACTCTACTCAAGGTGGGCTCTTCACCATCTGCCAGGCCTCATGCTCAGACAGACATCTGTTACACACCTGGCTACACACCTGTCACTCATTATCATATCATCATGCTTTGTTTCTCCAAACTGATCTTCCTCATTTGTTTACTTCTAGTCTTTCTTCCTCTCCTAGAACATAAGCTCCAAGAAGACAAGGAATATGTCATTTTCAGTGTTGTCCCTCTAATGTCTAGAGCAGTGCATTGGACACTTAATGTCTCTTGATTGAATGAGAGAATGAATCTGTGTGGGTCATTTTTATCTGCCATGGATGTAGGTGTGCATATTTTTGTGTATTTTCAGTCTTTTCTCTGTTCTCTGTCTCCTGCACATGGTGTATCCCTCTGTGTTATCTATTCTCTCTTTGCTAAATCATAGTTCTTTTTTTCCCCCATTAAGTTTATTGGTACATTTTAGGTATAAAATACAGTTACATTCATCATTGGGATCTTGTACCATTACATGAGTATCTTGGTTCTTACTTTTTCCCCTATTCCCCTGCCCTCCCTTCACCCCCTCCACCCTTCCCTATTTGCAAAGACTTTGTTTCCATTTTTTTCCTTTTCTCGTATTTTTTATTTTCCCTTTTTTCCTTTCCCCTACCCCTCCCACTAAATCATAGTTCTTGACAGGTTATTCCTCCCTTGGTTCCTGAGTGATGTTCATCCTCTGGTTGTCCACAACCTGACTTCCTTCCTTCTTGAGGATGTTACCTTTTCTCCCACATGGAGCCCTTTTGTCAAAAGCCACTGTCTTTTGATGACAGAACCCAAGGCAGCAACAGCCGCATCTGCCAGTGGAAGGAGTCATCTCCAGGAACCTGACTACTGCTCTGAAGAGGGATGAGTGGGTGCCTAGGCTCAGAATTCTCTGATGTCTCCTCAAGCTGCTATTATCCAATTACAATAAGCTCATCATTTCTTAGCAGCTGTAGGTTGATCATTGTCATCCCTGGCGCTTGTGAGAATACAGGGTATTTGTATAACCAACCCAAGGTGGCAAATTAACTCTTACTTGCTGCAGCAGCCCCAGAGCTAATTGGTTTAAGGTTTGGCAGGCTGGACAGCCAGCCCCAGGCATGGGAGGTCCATTCTCCATCCCCCCAACTACCACGTGCTAGGAAGTCCTAGAGCTCAGTGGTACCCCTGAAATTGCCATCCCCACTCTCAGAACCTGGCTCCAGCTTCTCCCAACTGATTTATTTGAGTGAGCAGGTGTTTCCAGGGGGGGTCCCAAATACAGGGATGATAGGACAGGCATCGAGTCACCCACACTTTCCCTCTGCCATCCCTCCTGCCCCCCATCCAGCAGGTGCTTCCAGCGTTCTAACAATGGGGACAATAGGAGCAGTGAGCAGTCCACACTTTCCTGTCCACTTCCTTCCTTGCTACCCGCCTATGCCAGCCAGGCCAGTAGGGAACTGGAAGGGCTCTTAAGTCCAGCTAAGCGGCCCCCACATGGTTGATTCTGCTTCCTAGCCCTCACTGCCACCAAATCTAACTCCTGAGATAGAAAACCCCTCTTCTTCCAGCTAAGCCTCAGTTCTCTTTATGTCCACAAAGGGGGCCCATCATTCTTCAAGTTGGCATTCAAGATGCCACTCAGTGTGCAGGGCAGGAGTGGAAGAGATGGAGAGGGGCACCATACCGCTGGGGTGGATGCAACTTGTGGCTCAGCCTCCTGCTGCTCCCCCTGTCTCTTCTTCCCACCAGGGCTGCTTATCGTTAGCTTCATGGATGAGGTGGGGAAAGGCAGAGAGAAAGGGGCTCTCTCAGGCTCTCCTGGCTCTGCCTTTATCCTTTTCCTTTATGTAATAGCAAGTGAGGACCCCACATGAGAAGATGGAGGCCAAGGAAGCAAAGAGGGAGCCAGAAGGGCACCTAGGGGTGCTAGGAGAAGGTGATGACCTGGCTGTAGACAGAAGATTGACAGGTTAACTGTTACTTTTATTTTTTCCCCAGTGCTGAGAACTGAACAGGGCCTTCTCACCGAATTACATCCTCAGCCCTTTTAATTTTATTTATTTTTTTATTTTGAGTGTCTCATTAAGTTTCTATGTTGCTCAGGCTGGGCTCAAACTTGCTTTCCTTCTATCTCAGCCTCCTACACTGCTGGGATTACAGGCATGCACCTTCACACTCAGCTGACTGTTGCATTTGGAAGTCCATTTCCACCTGCCCTGCAGTGCCCTAGTGCTTAGAAGGAAGCACTTCTTGTCCAGGCTCTGCCACCCGCTTGCTGTGTGACCTCAGTCCCCACCTCAGACTCAGTGTCCACATGTGTCCATGGAGACCAAGCTTCCAGTGCCGCACCAGCTCCACCACAGTGGCTCACCTTCCGTTCCACACTGCTGTCCTTCTTTGTCCCTTTAATGAAATCTGTTCTCCTCTTCAAGTACTGGTCAAACTCTGCCAGGGTCATGTCCCCTTTCTCCATCAGGACATGTGGCATGTGAGGCTCTGCGAGATGAGACCAACTTTTAGCACTTGTCCGGGTTGTGAGGGGGATCCCAGGGGTCTTAGTTTAGGGGCAAGATCTTCAGGGGGGTGGGCTCCTAGTTGGAAAAGGGGGTAGAATTGCTGAATGCCAGAAGCAGTATGGGGCAGGAGGAAGACCCTTTAGCCAGGAGGCAGGAAACCCTAATGCCCAGGAATGACCCACTGCCCTGTTTGAGCCTCAGTTTATCCATGTGTAAAATGGAGTTGAAACCAGGCCCAAAGAACCCTTGGGTCTTCTCAGCTCCTGACACTCTCTGAATTCTTGAGAAGACAGAGTTTCTCCTTGAAGACACAGAGCTCCCAGGGTCTCTCTGAGCTTAGACTTTCTAAGAACCTCTGGTCAGCTGAGCAGGGGCAAGTTGCCCAATGTGCAGATGAGACCCTGGCATCTGGAGCTGGAGTCAGAGGAAGGGACACTTGATCCAGGCAGTTATAACCATGTTTCCCAGGTGGCAAGTGGTTAGTCTCCTCCTGTCTGCCAGGCACCACCCTGACCCTTGCCCTGGCCGAGGCTCTCCCTTGGTGCGGGGCATCATACCACTGGGGTGGATGAGGATCTCCACAGGCCGGTCGAAGGTGTGTTTGTTGGCCAAGGTGATGATGATGCTTTTGGCTGAGGGTGCAGATGGGGCAGCGTCTGCTCGGATTTCATGTGTAGGACTCTCCACCCCTGAGCGACACAGAAAGGCAGGGCATGCTAATGGAGTCTCAGGAGCCCCAGGAGAGGAAGGAGCCGAGTGGGGGGTACCAAGACCCATGCCAGAGGTGACTGACATGCCAGCCCCATTGGAGGGTCCTGGCGTGCTGTGTGGCCATGGGCTGGACTCCACAATGTCCTCATCTGCACACCTTGGGCTTAGATAGCTCGTGTCTAATGGCTCTTCCTGCCCTGACTGGTAGGGTCAGAGGAGCTTCCTCCTTTCAGAGTACACAAAGCACCCAGCATGTGACCAAGCAGACAGAGCTCAATGCTCCATGGGTGGTTGCTTTTTGATGGGTGTTCCATGAGTGTGTCTTGCACTGGAATGGATTCATGCTGGTAAGAAACCACAGCCTAGGGTCCTTTAAAAGCTGGGGTGAGTTGTGGGGACAGAAGCATCAGCGTGAGGGTTCTCAGCCCTGGGTGTGTCAGAATCACCTGAGAAGTTTTTAAATGTTCTGGGCCTAGCACATAGCCCAGAATCTCTGGGGGTGGTGGCAAGGCTGCAGTATGTTTGAAAGCTCCTCAGGTGAGAATCAGGGAGGATATATATGGCTTTGGCCGCTAGGAGAGGTCGAAGAGCCATGATTCCCTGAGGGATATTTCTTGGTGAAAGTGCTAGAGTGGGGTGTCTTTGAAAACTGTGCCAGAGAGGGGCTCAGTTTTGGGCTGCTTGTAGGGGGGCGGTCCCTGGGGGCTCCTACAGCTCTGCTGCTTTAGCTCGTCTTCTGTTTGGGCCAGTGGCTCCCCTGCCCTCCCTTTCCTCCTCCTCTCTGCAGCTTTGGGCTGGAAGCCCTCTCCACTCTGGGGCTCCTTCCCCACCACCTCCCAACCTGGGCAGCTCACTGTCACCTGCAAGAAGACAAGGTCCACGGATCTCCAGCTGGAAGTTGAAGTCATACTCCATGGGGTTGGATACCTTGGTGTCTAGCAGAGTCGCCAGGCACAGCTTGTTCCAGGAGTCCAGGGCCTGGGTGCCATAGCAGTGCGAGTCTTTGCTGGGAAGTTGTCACAGAGAGGAGGAGAAGGCATTGGGCATAGAGGCGGGGCCAGCGGGGGAGAGGGGACATGGGGGAGGGCAGTGAGACTCGGGCACCAGCCAACCAGGGCCTGGGAACGCCTTTCCACCCCAGGACCTTGCTGTCCCATTCATCCTGAATCCACGAAGGCCTGCATGGCCAGAGAAGCCTTGGCTCCCTCCGAGGAGCACCGTGAGGGGTCAGCTACAGGTGCAGTGCTCCAGTGGATCCACTCTCATCCTTCTCACCCCAGCCCACATCTGGTGCTGAGGCTGGGCGAAGTAAGGCAGCTGACATCCTGACCCGGGACTGCCTGGCTCCATGGTGCAATGGTTTGCACCACATCACATGACTTTTTGAATCCTTCCTGTGTTTGTGAGCTGGGAGCCCTTGGACAAGTCACTCCTCTAAGTGTTGGCTTTCGCATCCATTCAACAGGAGCAACACTTACAGCACAGTGTCTGTCGCCTGTGGGGACACTCACACTTCTGGACCCTCACTTTATTATCCTCCATCTATCTCTGACCCTGCTCTGTTCCTCTTCTCTTTATAAGCACAGCCTCCCAGTCTTTGCTGTATGTTTTCTAGTGTGCACATATCCTGGTAAAATACATGGTAGTCTCTGGTAGCTGTGTTTTAAGTGGATTAGAACATTGCTATTATGACTCATATTTACTCTCTTACATTTTTTTACTCAATGTTTTTCTCAGTACCGGGTATTGAACCCCAGAGTCTTTGCACTGAACTATATCTCCAGCCCTTTTTAATTTTTAGTTTGAGACAGTGTCTCACTAAGTTTCTAAATTGCCCAGGCTGGGCTTGAATTTGCACTCCGTCTACCTCAGCTTCCTAGTATGCTGGGATTATAGTCATGCATCACTGAGTTTTAAGCTGTGTCCAGGCGGCTGCCCACCAAAGTTCTTGCTAATATGGTGCCACTTGGTGGTGTCCATTACCTTGTTCCCATTTGTTCTTGCATGAACCTCCCAGTACCCACAATAACACCACCATGAATATGCTTGGCCCTGTCCCCTTTGACTGTGTGAAAGAATTTCTCTGGTGTCCTTGGGTCAAGGGCAGGGGCTGATATTCCCAGATTGCTTTCTGGGTCTCACTCCATGAGCAGTAAGCTAGTGTCCCCTTCTCTCCATGGCTCCACTAGTGCTCGGTATTGTGAGGCTTTCTTATTTTTTCCGATGTCAATCTTTCCTGAGAGTTTTTCTGGAATGGGTGGGAATAACTTTATCAGGTCTGCTCTGGGCCACTGGGGCCTCCTCCCGAGCCTCTTGCTCCTGACCCACCCAGGTCCTGCCTCTCAGATGCACCAGGCTGGCAGGCAATGGCAGTGCTCATGAAGATGACCCATGAGGGCTGGTGTTTCCTAGTCAGACTGACTTATGCCACCAACTTCTCTGTGTGCCAGCTGTCTTCACCCTAGCCTTTGAGGCCCTGCCATGACCTCGCTCCTTTCTCCTCCTACTTTACCAGGAGAGTACAGAGGAACTGTCCTGCTACTGGGCTTTTCACTCTCCCTTGCCCTGCTGGAAACTCTTTTAATGGCTCCTTATTGCTTTAGGGACAGATCCAAAGTCTTGGTGGGGCCAAGGGTGTCCCAGGCCTTTGAGCCTCATTGGATGCCACCTGTGCTTCAGCCCCTGGCCCTGTCCTTTTTACCTCAGGGCCTTTGCCCTCTGCTGTCATCCTGTGTAGGAATGCACCTCTTTGTGCCTCCATCCTCCTCATTTTCAGTTGTCAGGAAAGGCTGGTCTGGTCTCTAGACACCCAGTTGGGTCCTTCTTTTATATCCTCAGCCCAAAGAACTTCTTCCTTATTGCACTTTTAATATAATTAATATTTTATATAATTATATATAATTATTAATATTTATTGTATATTTTATATAATTGATATATAATATGTATTCATGTATGTAACAATTACTTACATACTTAAATGCATAATGGACCATGATTCCTTCTTCCAAGTCCCTAAGCAGCAGGAACTATGTTGGTTATAAAAAGTGTCTAGCATGCAGTAGGTGCTCAGAAAATATCTCTTAAGTGAATTTAAAAAGAAAGCCTGTGAATTCTGATTCTCACCTGTCCAAACCCTAGCTCTTCAGCCAGTACCAATATGGGGGCATTTTAAAGTGCTCGGAAGAAGGGGAGTAAGTTACTCCGAAGGGAACAACTCTCAGGTGCAGCCCCGCCCACACCTGCTCCCCTGGCCCAATGGACTCTGCTGCCCCAGCTGTGCCCTGGCCTTGCTGGAGCCCCCTTACCCCTGGGCCTGCAGGTTGGAGTGGCCAGCGCTGTTGGTGCAGAGCCGAGGCACCGTTGGGGTGCAGATGGCAGGCAGGAAGACCCTCACCGCCCCGCTGGGCAGCGTCTGGAGCTCCGATGAGGTGCTGATGAAGACGGTGACATTCTCCATGGGGGTGACGGTCCCCAAGTTGACCACGAACAGGACCCGCTCCAAGTCCTCATCCAAGGCCACCTTTCCCGGTGTGCAGGAATGAGGGACGATGGAAATCCCCTCTTGCAGAATGTTCCCTAAGTGCCAGGCTGGCGTCAGGGGCTGTGCATGTATCATCTCTGATCCCCTCAAAGTTTGCTGTGGGGGAGGCTGGAGCAGCCCCATTTTGCTGATGGGAAAACTGAGGCCTGGTATGGAAGTGTGACTTACCTAAGTTACTCAATCAATAACTAACACATTGATTGGGATCTGAATTCCCATGAGCCTGACTCCAGGCCTGTTACCTTCCACTGTACCTTGCTGGGAGGGGGAACTTTGACCCACAGCGCCCCTGACCTCGACAGAGGTCACATCTCTTTCCTACAGCCCCTACCCCCCACCCCAGACCCAGTTGAAGCATCCCTACCTCTAGGATCCTTGCTTTTGATCTTGTTCTTTCCTCCTATCTGAAGAACTCATTCCTTTATCTCTACTTAGCCACTCCTACCCATCCTTCAACCCCTCCAGGAAAACTTCCCTGTCTCCAGTCTGTTCCTCTCTTTCCCCCTCTAACATTATCAAGACATTTCTTTTCAACCTCCCGTCTTGATCACTCCTAAGCAAGTCCCACCTGTTCTTCCAGGTCATGAAAAATCACAACTGGAGGGGAACTTTGCACCTGACATGTGGTGAACATTTTAATAATTAGGTGAACAAAACTTCACCGTGATCTTAGAGCCGATGGTCAGAATCTCTTACATCATATGATGCTTGGTCTGGGTCCAAGCCCTAGCTCTGACACTAGCATCCTGTGTGACCTTGAGCCAGTCATTGTCTCTCCCTGGGCCTTAGTTTCCTCCATGGCAGGACTCAGTAGTCATGCTTTGGGTACTTACTATGCTGGATGCTCTGCCTTGGTTGAGCATTGGGTGGGTATAATCATTCCCTTTATAGATGAGGTTAATTTCTTATCTAAGCTTGGACCACTTGCAAGCAACAAGCTAGGGAGGCAGATCCTGGGGTAACTCATTCCACAGCCTCTGAGCTTGAATGACTTGCTATTCTGTTCTCTACAGATGCCTTAAAAACCCTTTTGTTGGGCTGGGGATTTAGCTCAGTGGTTCTGGTGCCTGCCTCGCAAGCGCAAGGTCCTGAGTTCGATCCCCAGTACCAAAAAAAAAAAAACCCTTTTGTTGCCTGCCCTTTGATCCTCGATGTATTTTAGAGGTGAAAACAGAATCAATGATCTGTTTTACAGATAAGGAAGCCCAGGTTTAGAGAAGTTAATGATTGGTCTAGCTCTGGTTCAGTGCTGTGTCTAGCCTATCCCATTGCTGTCCTTGCCATCCGCTCAAGGCTTCAGCCCAGGCAACCTCCAGCCAAGCCCAGCCCCTGCTATGACCCTTTGGGCTTCCCTACCTGTGAGAGTTGGGGATCTGGCACAGGAGGCATCGAGGTGGCTGCTCTCCAGCTTGGCTTTGTCTTTGATCTGTACCTTCACGACGCGGCCAGCAATGACTGCCTCAAAGCCGATCACCGTAGTGTACTCATCCAGTGGATACACGAAGAGGCCTGTGGGAGGGGGTCCACCATTGCAGGGTACCCAGCCCTGCCCCACACACCCTGCTCCTGGAAAAGAACCTGAGCCCTTGACTGCATGATAGATCGGACTCAGGGATCCCTTAGAGAATGTAAACTATGGCCCAAATCTAGGGCTTGTCCAGTCTCCCAGCCACATGACTTTTTATAAGACATGTAGCTTCTCTAAACCTCAGCCCCATCTGTAAGATGGGTTGTCATGAGAATCTAAATAGCAACAATGACAAAATAATAGCCACCATGTATTAAGCTCTGTGTCTCATACGACGTATGTGCCGGGCTTCTCAAACTGTAAGTCCACATGAATCACCTGCGGGTCTTGCTAAAAAGCAAATTCAGAGTTTGCTTGGTTCCTGGTAAGCTCTCCACAGACCCTGGCTTCCTGTCTGTCTGAGTCTCAGGTTCCTCATCTATAACATGGGAGGGAGCCCTTGTTCCTCCTGTGTTGGAAGACAGCTGTGTTAAAGTTGTTCAGGTGGGTCCTGTTGTAAGTCTCCTCCTCTAGATTCCCTCACTCAGAAGAATGGGGCCATCTCCTCTGCCCAGATCTCTGAGGGGAAGAAAGTCTCTTTGCCGGTTCCCTTCAGGCAGGGTTGGCCCCCAGGGAAGCCCTGGGATGGGGCAGGGGGTTGGAGGTTGTTTAGTGGTTAGGAGACCCCATCACTATGAGGGAGAAGGGAATCCTGGCCAGTTAGCCTCCTGGCCAGCCTTCTGCCATGCCCTTCTTCATGGAACAAGAGGCCTTTGATTTATAAAGGACCCTGGCAAGCCGCATTCTGTTCCCACCCTGACAGCCCCACACTGATGATTTGTATTCACAGGCTGTCATTCAGTCCCTGTTGCCCTTCCTCCTGCATTACCTCATCCTCTGCTCCCCGCACTCCCTGGCATCTGGACAGGCCGAGCATCCTGACTTCAGGGGGGACCAGGGTTTCCCCAAGGTCATGGGAGCCAGAGCTTGACGCTGGGTCTCCTGGCTTCAGTTGAATCCTGACTCCTCTCCTTTGGGGAGGCTCCCTGGAGAGAGGGCCGCTCTGACCATCTGGCTCTTTGAACATACCTGGTGTCCCAAGTGCTGGGACAACTGGTTGGGCCTGGGGCTGAGCTCCAGGCTCAAATCCTGACCCTTCCTCCTACTGGCTTTGAAGCCTGCATGGCAGACATGGGATTCTTGTCTTACAGACAAGGAAACTGGGACTCAGAGGTCCTGGGACTTGCCCAGTGTCAATCATCTAGAAGATGTCAGAATGGGGCTCAGCAGGAGCGCAGCCTGGGGGAAGCCCCAGGGGGGTTCTTACCCTGGAAGGGCTGAGCCTCCAGATTGCCATAGGTGAGGGAGGCAGTCAGGCCCAGGGCGTACCCGCTGACAAAGGAGGTGACATCAGATGCGGTGAGGGGCAGGGCCGCCCCTGTGATGCGGTTCAGCAGGCCAGGCATTCCGCTGCTGGGTGCTCAGCCTTCAGGGCCTGCAGGAGACATGGCAGGCAGGTCATGGGGGAGAGGTCCTCCATTCCTCTCCAACACAGTTTTCCCAGGGTCAGTCTCTCCATTCCCCCCAAGGACCTCCCAGTTAGTGAGCCCAGGATCACTTCCAATATTTCCTGAGAGAAGTCATCATTCTGTCTTTCCATTTCACAGATAGAGAAACAGGCCTGCTGGAATTCACTCAGTCAGGGATAGAGCTGAAGTAGCCCTTGGCCAACGAGGAGATCCTCTTGCAGTCTGTGCTAGGATGGGCTCCCGCCTCATCCCTTTGCGAGTCCCATGATACCTAACCCTCAGCTTTTCCTCTGCAAAATGAGAGCCCTGGCATGGCTCACCCAGGCCCCTTCGCTGGGTACTGCAGACACACCAGAGTGAGGGCAGCCACCACTCCTCCAGGTGTGTCCGTTACCTGGGCTTGTGACCTCTCTGAAGCAGCTCCTGCATCCATCCACGTTTGTCCTTTTCTGTCTCTAGCACCCTGGTCCCACCATCTCCACCTGAACCTCAGCTCCTTTTAATCTCTTGGATCTACTTTTCCTGGCTGAAGTTTCTTTTCCACCCAGTGACCAGAAGGGATATTCCAACACAGGGGACACACCTCTGCCACCCCTCACCCCCTTTTAGGCCCAGTGGCTTCCCACTGCTCTTTGAATACAGACTAAGCCCTCAAGGTGGCCTTGTGTGGTCGTCCCTTGCTGCACTTGCAGCCATCATCACTGCAATTGCTCTTGGAAGCTTCCCTTCCTCAGTGCGTCCTGCTCTCTCCACCCCTGGCCTTGCGACTCTACCTGGAAGGCTCATCTCACACCTGCTTTTTATCCAGAACCCTCCCCTCATCTTTCTGTGTCAACCTGGGCTCCCTCTGCAGGGGGGCCAGGCCACCTGTGCCCAGCATCCTCAGGCACCCCTCTGCTTGAGCTGAGTTTCTGTCCTGAATGTACTGCCTGCCTTTGAGAGGAGGGGTTAAGGAAGCAAAGTCACACAAAAGGTGAGGAACACAAATTCAAGGTCAGGTTCTCCCTGGGTTTTCTTCTCTGATACAGGAGCCAGGCCAAGCTTCCAAGGGCCAGTAGCCTGATGCCAACCACTTGCAAGTCTTCCAATGTGTGTTAATTACTCTGCCTTTTCTCAAAGAAGGAAACTCCTTGCCTCTAGGTCCTCTTCATGTCCCTGCTAAGATCCTCTCCTGCTCCTCTGCCTCACATCAGGCCAGCAGCATCTTTTTAATTATGTGCTCCTTGTGGCTGGGGCCCAGTCAGTTCTCAGCCTGTCTTATCTCTTCCCAGACTGGCTGATAACTGCAAGCAGATAGAGAACCAGGAGGGAGCTGCTGGATCCTCAGTATCTTCTCTCAGGAGCCCTTTGTTCTGGTGGCCAAAGCAGAGCCTGGATGGTCCAAGGGGCAGAACAAGATGGCGGAGTTCATTTCGTGAGCATGTCGTATCTCCTGCTACCTACCTTCCTGCCCTCCTCCTTCTCACACTGGCTTACTTGTGTCTAGAATGCTAATTTGGAAATGTAGCTCCAAGGAACCAGCACCTCAGTACGCAGTGATCTTACATTTAGACTTCAGTCCATGGGACAGAGTCTTGCCAAAGGCATCTTGTCCAACCCAGTCTTCACACCATGTACCTCACCCAAAGAGTGGGGCTTGGATGAGAGGAGTCTGTTAAAAAAGGGCCAGACTCATTCTGCACTGACCTTGTAAGACTGTCAGAACTTCTTTGAAAGAGTAAACCTGAAATCCTATGGGGCCTAATTCCTGTATTTTTTTCATCAATTCACTCAGTATTGATAAGATCCTACTGTATTTCAGGCCCTTAATTAGCCATTGGGTATAAAAAGATTAAAATACAGCCCATTCTCTGGGAATTTATTATCTTGTAGCAGAGGAAATTTGGGAGTGGGGAAGATAGAGTAATGAAAATTTATGGAATTAATGGAGTAATGAAAATGTGCCAGGCACACCCATTGTTACATTGTCTCATCTTGTCCTTATAAAACCTTATAAGGTGTTCTGCAGATGAGGACACTAAAGCTTTGAATGGTATATTTGATTCTGGATGTAAGATCGGGGCATCTGAAGGACACATGGGTTCACACTGGGGCTTGTATAGAACTTTCCCTAGGAGGAGACCAAGGCCATCGTCGCGGGAGATAGACAGCAATTATGCTGACGGTTGCCCCCACCCCCAGGCTCTTGCCAACCTGGGTCTCAAGGGGGCATCAGACCGTGGGAAACACCCAGGGGCCAGGATAAAGCTACCAATGTCTCTGGGTCAATGTGAGAGACCATGGCCTGGCTCTAGGGATGGCACCTTGTGTGAGTGGGTGACTTAGTGTGTCAGGAGCATCCTTTATGTGTTTGTCTTCCCTACTTCCTTCCTTCCTTCCTTCCTTACTCCTTCCCTGGCCTGCCACACAACCTGTCTGCCAAGTTCTTTGGTTTTTAGGACGCCGAATATGAAAGTGATGGGAGAGATGAGAGGAAGCAAGAAGGAGCTTAAATGGGGCTGGGGCTGGGGTGGGAGGAGAGGGAGGGGCTTACTGACTGGGGAGAGATTGAAGGTGGTGTCCACCATGGAAGTCAGGATGGAGAGTCCGTACAAAACTAGAAGCAGGAATTCCATCCAACCCAGGTATTCCTCTTCTAGATACCTTCCTGAAGGATTGAGAGTTGTCATATTACAAAGTGATATATGCAAACCCATGTTCATAGCGGTATAATTCACAGTAGCTAAATTATGGAAGTAGTCTATATGCCCATCACTGTATGAATGGATAAAGAAAATGTGGCACATATACCCATTGGAAAGAGTCATTTGTAGGAAAATGGATGGATCTTGAGACCATAAGCTAAGTGAAGTAAATCAGACACAGAAGGTTAAATAGCACATGGTTCCTGTAATATGAGAAATCCAAAATATAAATAATTTGAAGAGCAAAATAAAAGGGAGGCAGGGCCGGGGATTTAGCTCAGTGAGTGGTTTCGCCACCTGCTGTGCAAGCGCAAGGATCCCAGTTTGATCCCTGGTACCAAAAAAAAAAAAAAGAGAGAGAGAGAGGCAGTAGCAAACAGGAAGACAGACTCTGTAGAGATGAGAAGGGGATACAGGGAAGGAAAGAGAGGGGAGGTTTGGGGCAAACGAGTACAATCGATCAAGATGCAATATTCCCAAAGATGAAGGTAATTATGATGTATCACAGACATATATAAGAAAATATTTAAAAGAATAAATATAAAAAAGAAATGGGTGTCCTGAGTTGTAAATTTGGCTCCATTTTATATTCTCCCAGAGACTCATAGAATGATCCAGATGACCTGGGTCCAGTGACTGTTTCTTTAGTGAACATCGGCCTGAATCTGAACCCTGGAATCCTTTCTGCACAGCTCACAGTAGGTTCCCGGCATGTCTGCTAAATGCCAAGACTGTCGTCTCCTGATGGCCCAGAAATTATGATTCCCAAAGGATTGCTGTTGCCAGAGCATTGTTTATATTTGTGCCTGGCTTGGTAAATATAAAGTGAAGTGAAGTGAATGATGTCAGCCACTTCCAAGGACACTGAAGGACACTTGGTACTGGCCATGCCGTGGGAACAAGGCAAGCATGGGTAGGGAAACTGGCAAAAGAGACAGACAGTAAAGAAAATCACAGGCTCAGAATCAGAACCCTTCTTGTCACTTTCACAGCAGCCACCCCATGTCTCCCTCCAATGATAATGGAGCAGCCAGAGCAGCCCTGTGACAAGGATCCAGTTGTGTGACCCCGTGGCTCAGATCCCCTGAATCTCCCATGTCTCTAGAGCTCCAGGAGGAGGGAGGTGCTCATAGAGCACCTGGTTTCTTCCCGACCTCTCTTGGATGTCTTAGCTTTAGAGCTTTGCCTTGGGGCATTTTTCACTGGCTTTTCTCATCAATAGCACACCTTCCTTTCAGCACACACTTGGCACCTGGCCCATGGCTCCCTCTGCTCCCAAGCCCTGCTGTCATCAGGCTGCTGCTAGCATCCATGGGACAGAGCATCAGCTCCCTGATGCCCTGCATAGCAGTCCCTTTGCTTCTTTCTAGCTCTTCTACTGTCATGCCCGCCCTTCCGCTCTCATGCCTTGAACTTCAGACCTTGATGACTGCTCTACCTCTCAAACTACCCACCTGCTCTAAAGTCGCAACCTCCCACCATTTTGTTTTTTCCTTAGCTCTTATCACTAGCTCATGTAATGTCTACTTTGTATATTTACCTTGTTTAATGTGCCTCCCCACCCCTAGAGCATAATTCCTTGAGGGCAGGGATTTTGTTTTAGTTTATCTACTACTGGGTCTGCTACCCACAGAATAGCAGCAGACATAATGTAGACACTCAATAAGTATTCGCTGAAGGGATGAAATCCCACTTCAAGAGCTTCCCATATCCAATTTTACAACATATCTCAGAGGTAAGGACTCCTGATTATTTGTTTATTTATTTATAGACAAGGTTTTGCCCAGGATGGCCTTGAACTTAACTTAACTATGTAGCTCAGGGTGGCCTCAAACTTGTGCTCCTCCTGTCTTAGCCCTGTCCCCGTCAAGTGCTGGGATCACAACTATCCTTCTTTCACAGATGAACACACCAAGGCCCAGAGAGCAGAAGGAATTTTCCCAAGGCCACACAGCCAGTCAGTGATGGGGTTGGGAGTTGAACACAAGCAGAAGGACCATAGAGTCCACCTGCTTATTTGTGAGGCTATGCTGCGTCCTGCATCGAGATTTCCCAGGCCTCGATGTGTCCCTGGAAATCCTCCCCTCCCTTCTCCTCGCATCATTGCTCTCATCTGGACCATCTCTACCCTCTCCTTACTGGTCTTTCAGCCTCCAGGCTCTTTTCCTTCTGGTCCTCCCTGTCTCCACGCGCATACACGTACACACTCCCATGTGTGAGCACACACACATACGCATATTCCCCCTGAACTTA